GAAAACCACGAAAACGCCCATGCAGCCAGCCCGTTCACAGGACTCGAATCTCGGACAGAACTACCAGTGTTCAGCAACTTTACCGCTCGGTAACTGGTGGGCTAAAATAGGATGAAGACTTTACATACACCTTGTGTGTAAATATATGAAATTAGATCAAGATTTCTTTTACAAAAAAATTTATGTAGAAAAAAAATGACATTGGAATTTTTAAAGGTAGATTGATTGCTAACATAATTTGCTAAGAAAATATATATTACAAGATTTATTTGCACTTATTGAAGTGTTTTTTATAATTTACATACTGTAATTATTAAACTATTTTTACAAAGTTTTATTTGTGGCAAATATTTGGTTGCATTTTCTTTTTTAATTTGTTATTTTGCTGCATTAACTTTTTATGTCACTTTTATTCTATCATTATATCTATTATGTCACTTATAACTATCTGTCTTTTATTTTGATTTTTCTGCCAATTCATTTGTTTTACACGTGTGCATAATGTTGTAGAGTAAACTGACTGCAAGTCAAGTTGGATCCATAGTTGGACTTCAGTCTGGTGAAATTCAACAAATAGCTACTGAATTTGCTGGCAAGGTAGTCATTTTAATTTATTATTATTATTTTGTCTGTATGTGTGTGTATTCTTTATCAGCAGAGATCAAGTGGCTTTGTTAAAAACTTATGTAAACTTGGGACTAATTTCCAACATAAATAAAATTAATCTTAACTAAAGCTAAATGAGGTAGAACAACTAAAACACTTATCTCATTATATTCTTATCTACTGTGCATTGCGATGTTACGATGCATCTACTGTGCATTGCGATTGTGTGTGTTACGATGGGAAAGATGAAATGAGAATTAGATCCATCTTTATATAGTCACTTGTGCTGTCTGAGAGTTTCTCCTATGAAAAACTTGAATATTTACATTTTTAGAAAAATTCAATGTAAACATTTAATTTTGACCACTTCGAAAGTAGTTTTCGTGTATTTCAGTCATCAAATAATAGAAGTAAAAGTCGATAAAGAGAGTAGAAAAATGCAAAATATTACTTTGTACTGAAGAATTTTTATTTTGATACAATTAGTACAATTAATTTAATATTTGCATGTAAGTGTGTATTTAGTTTTGTTTGCTGTATATATATATATATATATCCATGCCTTCTCCGAGATTCGAACCTGGGCTCTTCGATACCGCAGTAGGCTCCCCTAACCACTATACCGTCTGGGCGGCATAAATTGTGAATTCCCGTCTGAGAAAGAAAACATATAAAAATGTGATCTACTCAGTCGTCAGTCAAAAATGAACCAAAAACAACCAATAAAAAATTGGTTAACATATTTTTGAAAAAAAGAAAACATGTTAACCCACAGCCTACTCATAGCTGTTCTTGTAACAAATAAAATAATTGATTCATATAAAAGTCATTGTTAATGTAACTTTCAGATATAATATTGGTGAATAAGATTTATTGAAATTATGTCACAGAATAAAGAACATTGCACAGAGGAGTATTTATCTCACAGAATTGTAATACATATCTTAAAATGAATTCAAAACTGATTTGCTGTTATGTTTTCTGTGTGCAGTCAAAAGTTTACTCCAACAATAACTAAACAAATAATACTGTACTTTATTTTGTCAGATTTAAATATTTTACATTGGAATGCTGTTGGTTTATCATTGTTCTTGATGGTGTTTAAGAAAGGGGGGCAATAAAAATGGGAAAATACTTATTTTTATAATATTGAAATCTGTTTAATATTTATAAAAGTGTTAACAAACATTCTGTTTTTATATTTTTATAGTTTTTATCTAAATGTAGTGTATATATTTTTTAAAAAACTTTTTCATTCCCCATTTAATTTTTAAAACAGAAAAATTTGTTGGATTTTGAGTAATTTCCGTTAAAAAGAAGAAAAAAAAACTATGCTTTTGAAGTTAAAATTTTTTCACTGTGCCGTTAGCAAAATAAAGGGGGAAGAAGAGTATAAATACTACGTTCTTGGTGATTTCTGTTAAAAAGCAAAAGTATTGTAATTTTGAAATAGTGAAATTTTTTTATAGTGCAATTAATAAAATAAGAGTAAAAGGAGAAGGGTAGTATATAAATATAGTCCTTTATTTTCCGCTGCTTTTAAGATATTGTAATGTTGTACAGGTAATTAAACTGCAGGCAATGAGACTATAGAAGGCTTTATAAAATGATGGATTTGGTGCAGAATTAGCCATTTATGATTGAATGATTTCAATATAACCAGAGGGGAAAAGCATAATTTTCAGTACTAATTAGGGTTAACATTGAAAATCAATTGAATTAAAAAAACTCATCAATTTTTAGCATGGTAAATGAGAAAAGATTGTTATAATTTTTCTTTTTTAATAACAAGTTTTCTCCCCTCTTTTTAATCTTTTTTTACTCCCCCAAAAGGTTTTTGATAATGATGGCAATTATGTAGTTGAATAAGGTATTGAATAATTTTTTTTTCATCCAAAGCAACATTATATTCCATACAACCTAATGTTTGCATTATATAAATACTGGTACAATGCTGTTATAAGGAACAGATTCAGAAATGTATAAGCATGTGTTTTATGGATATATATAGAATATATATATATCTGTGTGTGTTATACATGCACACATATCAGTTCTACAATATACATTTCTGAAAACAGTCCTGATAACAGAGCAGTACTGTTTTAAAAAAAAGCAAAAGTGAATTGAAAATCATGAATTTTCAGTTCACTTTTGAAAATGCACTCAGCATTTAATGTATATGTTTAATTAGTCTTATCCTTTTTACTAAGAACAATGTATATATTGATTCTGGAAATTTTATTATTAATATACCTGCATAATTAATAATACAATAATATTTGATTTTGGAGGATTTTTTGCACTGTTATTTTTCATTTTGGTGTTCTGTTCTAGGATATAATTATGATTCATTTTATTGCATTGCTATTTTAAAATATTTTGGGAACTTTAATTCCTAGCAAGCAGAACTTGCATCTGAAGAACTTGGAGAAAGAGGGTTAAGTGGCATACAATACCATAAACGAACTGTTGTTGCATTATCAAAACAAATTAAAGAAAAGGAAGAAAAATTAGCTGAGGTGTGTCAAACTATTATGTTGTTTAAAACTAATTATATTGTTTAGAATTGCTGTTATTATTATTATTATTTTTTTTTTTTTTAACTTTTGACTCAAATTGTAGGTACAAGCTCTCAATGAAAGTCTTAAAAGCTCATATCAAGAATCACAATCAAGGTTAAAGGAAGTAAGTTTAATAAATAATACAATTTCAAGTAAAGGGAAAAGTCTGCACTTATGTCATGTTCTCATTAGTTTTGCCTTGTAATATGTGATGCATTTTTATTTCAGCTGCAAAGCATGCATAGTGATATGATGAAAGAAATGAAGATTTTGGAAGAAGCTGAAAATGATGACAACAAAAGGTTTTTAAAGTTTTTTTTCTTTTAAATTGAGCTTATGTAGATGTGTATATTTTAATTTTCCTAAGCTTTAAATGTAGGTTATGGGTGCTTAGGTATGTATATGTACCAGATAAAACTTTATTTTGAAATTATATGAAGTTTTTTAATATAAAGTATCGTCAAGATTTTTTAGATAGAAGGTAAAGAAACAGGCAGGCAGGTATTATGTATTAAACAAAAGTAACAATGTTTAATAAAGTCAGTATATGCTTTGTAAAAAATTTGAAGTAAATTTAAAATTTAAATTTGTCATTTATAATGATAGATGGATTTTGGATCATTTATTCAAAATGCCTGCAAAGCAATTTTTTTTTTCTCCTGTTTTATTGTGTTGGGAAATATTTTTACAGAAATGAAATTAAGCTACACAAAATTAACATATTAACATGCTGACTGTGCTTGAGGGGGTCACTGTTGGCCAGCACTTGACTTGACTACAGTGCCATGGGGGCCACCGGTGATGTGACCAATAGTGAAAATATATGATTAGAGTAAATATCAATAGTGATTAATTTTTAAGTAATAAATCACAAAAATGGTCTACATCATGTTGAGGATCACTTGTGACCCTTCACTACAAAAAATGCATTAAACATGATTATATAACTCACCTTATCTTCTGTAGAGAATATTTCAACATACTATGCATCACATAATAAAAAAATCATATTGGCACCATGGTCAAACCATGTAAAATGCACATGGCAGTCAACGTATTAGTACTTGGCGTGCATACGGGTTCGTATAGGATCATATGCACAAGTCGATAAAAAGTTAATAAAATTTATTCTTATCCCAAAAAAATAAAACAAAATGCTGAAATTTCCTCAGAGATATTCGTACAATATTGCAATACCTCACAGTAGTTACATTTTGAACTACTAAAATATAAATAGAACTCGATTTAAAACACAGAGAAAGCTAATCCGATCTTACCACGAATTCACTACAGTCAATAACAGCACTAAGTAAACAACTGAACTGAGATGTTTTAATCCAGTTTTTATAAGCTTTTTAATCATGTATGAGAACATTCTGGTATTTTCTCAGTTTTTGTGGATAGCAAAAGAGTACAATTATGAGATATCTATTTATTAAATGCGCAGGCTCCTGTAGTTTTACTTTTTCGGCGTAGCTTTCTCTTAAAACTCACCACGTGCTGCATTGCATGGGGAAAAGAAACAATTTAACTGCAATTCTACTAAAAATAGCAAGCTAAATAAAAAAAGTAACAGTACTTTATAATGTATTTGCTTCTTTTCTTCTTTTGTGTGCTGTTACGTTAATGTCAAAAACAACTGTATTACCTTATAACTTCATGGTAATAAACTCATAATGCTGTTTGATTTCAGATTCCAGAACATATTCATTTTCCTATTTTAAGTTGTAGATTGGTCCACAAAAATTGTATAAACTAAAACTGTGTAAGAAAGTGCAGTGCATGTGAGAAAACAAAAGTTTAACCCTTGACATAATTTTTTAAGTTTGTAAGTAATCATATTATCATCTGTGATTAAAACTTAATTTGAATACATGTTAACTAAATCATTATTTATTAAATTAGTAATACAGTTGAAGCCTGCTGCAGCAAACATGGTTTATGACAGACTTTGGAATTCTTACTCCCAGAATATTATATTTTACAAATATTAAGATTATGTTTTTAATGCCCTTTTTATTAAGGAAAGAATACACTAAAGGATACATATCAATTTTGTAGAGTGTTGTCAAATTTTGCTTCTTCAAAGTATGCCTGTTATGACAGATAGTCCTAGAATCTTTTACATGTTCTTCAAAGTAATAAAACTTCCTTTAAACTTAAAGTTTTTGACATATAACCATTTATTTTTGTCCGTTTTGAATATCTTTCTTTATTAAGGCCTATAAGGAAAATGTTGTAGTAATGCAACTAATTTGGCCCAATTTGCTGCTTTTTTTTTAAATGATGAAAAAGAATGATGATTTACAGTAGCAAAAAATTATTCATTATATGAATGCATATTACTGCATATATACTTTGTTTTAATTAGATATTCATCCAAAAAGTCAGTCACTAGAACTACTTATTAGCGAATTTTGATTATTTTGTTCTGGTAGAAATTTCGTAGTGGTCGCTTTAAAAGTAAATTTTCAAAATGCATTTTTCCTTTTAAGATTTTGTGGTAAAATAATGTATTCTTACAGAAATATTAGCATTAATTCTTCCATTGCAGGCAAATCTCACAAGCACATATTTTTAAAAATATTTAAACAACAACTGGGGGGGGGAAAGGCGAGAGAGAGAGAAAGAGAGACTTGCCTTTCAAAAATTTTTAGAACTTTTAATACCAAAAGGGAACCATTGAATACACACAGGAAAATGGTGATCCTGCTTGTTAAAACTGTAGAATTGTTGTGTGCATTATTATTAGAATTTAGCACGTTTTGAAAATTTGGCAACTTCTATTTAGGTGGTTGTGCTAATTTGTTAAGTACAGGGTGGTCATGAAAAACAGTTCTCCAATATAGAAATCTCTAAAATTTCAGGTATTGTTATTTGAAAGTCGCTCTCATGGTTATGGTTACAGTGCAAATGGTTTAAAAATTTTTGAATGTCAACATCCTTTTCACCTAATCCAGATGCATAAATGCATTGAAAAACCATAAATGACATTGGAACAATGCACATAGGACGAAATTATGGGTGAAAGATAAGACAGCTTTATCAATTCATTTTGTTATTTCCCTGTCAGTGTCATCTTTTTGGCATGTTCCAACATCTGATTGAAGAAACAATCTTCCCACATTGCTTATTAAGGGTTTTCCACTAGACGTGCTTTGCACAATACTTTGTTCTGTGATTGGTGATTCTATTGTCTGTCCCTATGAATTATGCAAAGTGCATCAAGGCAATCTTTATGTTGTCACTGGTCCTTTGCAACTGTTTTATGCCTTCAGATTTTGTCATACATATATCGTTCCAGTGCCATTTATGGTTTTTCGGTGCACTGATCAATTTGCGCAAGAAAAAAGTGGGTGTTGCAATTCAAAAATTTCAAAATTTTTTCTTTGTAACTATAACTGTCTGAGCTCTTTTGCTGTAAATCATCACAATCCCAAGTGCATATCTTCAATTAACGATATCTGAAATTTCATTTTGATTGGTTGAGCAGAGAGGTTGCTACGGAATCATATAACGAGAGATTTTTTTTTATGACCACCCTATTCTGTGACATGTGTAGTTGAGCTATTTTAAAGACCTGAGTTATTAGTACTAAAATTTTTACAGGTAGTTTACTGTATTATATTTTATAAGAAACATACATAAAATATGTAAATTGACAGCAAAGTTAATTAGTACGTAAGATTTTAGTTCAGCCATTTCTCTTCTCCCATTTATTAATATGACTAGTTTTTAGGCATGATTCAAGCACAGTTTGTGTTTCATCTTCCCCCCCCCCAAACCACATAATCACATGCACATACGCAAATATATATATAATACAAAATAAAATACATTTAAAATTCATCACATATTCAGTTTGGAATGAATCTCATGGAAGAAACACAGTGGCAAACTGCAAGAAGTGGGGGATGGGGGACAAAATGTGAACATGAAATTTATCTCTTTCCATCTTTCATCAACAGGGGAATTTATATATACATACATCCAGTCAATGTTGATAATTACTTAGTTTATTGGTTGCATTTTCACTTTTAATTATACCTTTTCAATGTTTACATTTTATATATATGTTCAAGATTCTATTTTAAATATGCTAATGAGTTACTTCATTTCGGTAGTATTCTAATTACTTTTGTCGAAGTAGATACTATACTGAATAATCGATTAGAAAATAAATTATATATATAATTATAGTTATAATTAAAGTCCTGAAGTACTGGAAAAAGTATGAGTAACATTTTAATTAAACATTAATTTGATTAATAATATTCAGTTTTTCAAATTAGATGTGAGGACAATATAATTTTTTATTTAATTTTTGTATTTAAAGCAAAAGTCATAAAAATATATTGTGTAGAGACATTAGGCAATTTTTGGAAACCGGAGAAATGAAAAATTAGCAACGCCTTCGCCAGGAGTCGTACCACGGACCTCTGGAATACCGGCCCAATGTGCAGAACCGTTACACCATGAAGGCATGCTAGGAAAGTGGGAGAAATACCTTATATACTCCTCTTTTTAAAGGGTGACTGGCGTTTTTAGGGGATCCAGTCGCCAAATCCTAGGTGTGGAGAGTCATCATCCACAACCCTATTAGTTTGGGTGCCACTGTAGAGACATTAGGCAATTTTTGGAAGCCAGAGAGATGAAAAATTAGCAACGCCTTCGCCGGGAATCAAACCACGGACCTTTGGAATACTGGCCCTGCATGCAAAACCACTACACCACGACGGCATGCTAGAAAAATGGAAGAAATACCTTATAATTGTTAGTTTGTCAAGTAGTGCACCATTATTACAAGATGAATGATGCTTGTAATAATGGTTTAACCCCTTTCAGGACGGGCGTCCCATCCATGCATTCCCTAAGAGCATCACTTACAGCCGGGTGTCCCATCCACGCACCATTACAGATTGCATTCAGAGGACGATTGATACGCATTTTAAGCTGGAACGTTTTTCTGAAGGCCACTAGATGGCATCTTATGTCCATTACTTATGAAATGAACAGTTTTAGGTTCCTGACCTTGAGTTTGATATATTCTGTCTGACTTTGGTAATTTAGTCATCAACTGTTGCGAGGGTGGGGAGGGGGAGGAAAAGCGTAAATAGAGGTAGGCTCTTTAAATCACCGTGTGCTAATATAAATATTCGCATGTCTGATTTATATCCAATTCCTTTTTTTATTCAATTTTTTCCTCTACTATATATGGTCTTTTAGGGTTACTATGTGGAATTCTGTTACGTTTTGTATTGCCTTTGGATATATTTCCGTTTCTTCTCTTTTTATTTCGGAAAGCCTCATCTCCAGTCTATTATGACGGAAAAGCGCTATTTATCAGAGGTAGAATACCCTTGTATGGTTAATGAACCATTTACTAACGCAGATGAGAGTGATGATTCTTTTTCTGAAGAGTTAGAAAGTGATACTTCTCCGTGTTTTCAGATTTACCACAGTCTTCATTTTAAATTTTGTTACTTCTTATTGTAAATAGTCTTAATTGTGTTGTTTTATTAATTTTAAACTTTATTGATGGATTTTATCAATTAAAACTTTAGAATAATTTGAATAGTGCTTCCGAAAATTATTTTACAAGATAAGGAAATTTTTAAGTATATTTTCATGTAAAATTAAGAAAAAAAATTTTTAAGTGCTAATTTTAACATGTATAAGAAGAGCTCAAGTAATAATCTAAAATGATACCAAAAATTACGATGCTAGAAGTGAAACTTTTTTTTATCTGATTTTTTTATAAAATTAGGCTTAGCGATGCGAAACCTCCGCCCTGTACGGCAGTGCTCCGCAAACCGGTGTGCCATGAGTAGGATATGTGTGCCGCAATCAAATACGTGTATTTGACATTTGCAATTTTTTATCATGTATTTAATACACTGACAATTTTTTTTTCCTTAATATGTCTATTTTAAATGTTTTTATATATTTCCTGTTGTGTTGGTTTTGTGTGTGATTGTAAGTGTGTCAGCATTTGAATTTTTTCGGCACTCCTTCATAACCTCGGAACTCAGAATATATAACTTTTTTAAAGCGCAGGTATCACATTGATATTATTTATGAGTGCATATAAATAAAATGTTATGGTTTTAAATTGTAATTTTTCAATTAAAACAAAAATTTATTGTAAATTTTGTGTATAAATCAGTACATATATACATTAGCTTTTGGTGTGCCACGAAATTCCAGAAAGATTTTTTGTGCATCGCAGGTGAGAAAAGGTTGCGGAGCACTGCTGTACGGTGACTGCCTTTGATTCCCTTCCGTCCCGCACGAACGTCTTAAACAAAGGTGCGCCATCGCGAAAAGGTTAAAGGAACACCAAGCAGCAAAAGTTACAGATAGTAAAATTTTTAGAATTTAAAAGAGGCATTCGGTAGTTAAATTTTAAGGAGGTACCAAGCAGCAAAATGCATAGTGTCCCCCCGTATCTCATTACATCATTCTGGATATTGGAAACCCAAATTTTGCACTTTAAAACGCTTTTAGAAATCTCATATAGTAAACTCTCAAAATAAATTTCAGGTAAAGTCTGAGGGGTTAAATGATGCTTCCCTTCATTTGATTAAATGAATTGGAGAATTGGGAATTTAAATTTATATCAAATTACTGAAATTTTGCTGTATCGGTAAAAATTTCATTAAAATTAAAACAGAGTTGAGCCTATCTGTTCACAGAAACAAGTAAAAATACCTTCCTGATTATTTAAGGCAGTTGAATCTAGAAAGAATTTATAATTTTCCAGTGGATGCTGTTCAGGTGTATATGTATGGTAGTAAGAATGATATTGATAGTACTGGGAGTTGAATTTACATAAAAATCACAAAATCGAGAGATAGGGTTCAGACGAGGAATCCTGACTACTGCTGTGTCTTTTGCAGCGAGCTAATTGCCATAAATGAAAGCATTGCTTCTATTGTGTAAATACTGATGGAAAATAAATCTGGATCAGCTCTCTGCTAGTAGAAGTTCTATTCAACATTTGGCATAGTGTGAGAAATAATATAGGAGTGAATATTCTTAAAAAGTATCCCTTCCCATCTTGACATCTTGGGGAATGAGATTGCAGACTCCCTGGCTAAGGCCGGTGCTGGAGATGCCTTGGTGCCTTTTGTGCTTCTCACCTTTATGAAGCATTTTTCCATGATTAAGTGCAAGAATAAAACCACTTTGTTTGTTGTTCCACCAGTGCACCTCTGTTATCAGAATAATTGGCCCGAGTGGCTCTTTGGCACTTGATTGCAACAGGCAAGATCAAACCCTCACCCACTTCCTCAATGGGCATCTTAGACTTTTTTTTAGGGTTCCAAGTGTTTTGAAGTCTGCATCAAGTGTTCTTCTGAGCAAGCTTCCCCCTGATCATATTCTTGCTTATGTCAGGCTTTCTGAGCAGGATCTTACTGGCAATCCATTGTAGGTTTTGGATTTCTTAGAATGCAGAATGTCATGGGCCTGATATAGCTCTGCTAATCTTTGAGAATGAGCTACAGCACATAATTGAGTGTATTCTCACTCAATCACACTCAATTCTCTTAATTCTCAGTTCATCTAAATACACTCAATGCTGTTATTAAAAAAAATTTGAGTATTATTTCCCATATTTCTTAAATATACATGTGCTATTGTGCTATGTTTTATTTTTCGTCCTGTTTGAAATATGCCTTAATATATATTATACTGCTTAATAATTTATCTAAATAAATATTAAAATCTATGAATATAAATGCTACTCTTTACTACCTCTCACTCATCTAAATACATAGATAAGAGAGGTTATATTTTTGGTTCAAAATTTCAGTTGTGAGTTTTCATTGAATAAGCATGATAAGGTTCCCCATAATATGTTTTTGCTATTTTTACAGTGATAGTACAATTGTGTGTACGTGTAAGACAGTTTTTTCATCCATGATAACTCTTATATGAAACTTCCAAAATTTCTGTTTTCTATATTTTTTAGCTTTCTATATTCATATACGGAAATATGAACCAAATATTTTCAATTTTAGTATTTAAGACTGATATCAATGGGCAAAACATATTAGATTTGGGGCAAAATTGATAACCAGAAGTGATACTTCATTTGAAGCTCTGAATAGATTTTCTTAAAAAAAATAATAAATAAATAAAAATAAACCAAAGCATCTCAAATTTAGTATTTCAAATAGGTGTGTAATTGAGACTAATATGTTGCATTTATAAGCATAAAATGTATTCTTGTAGTTATGCTAAGCGAAAGTGATATTTAAAAGTAAGCTAGATGACAAATAAAAAAATTTGTTCTTATTAAAAAACAGAACACTAATCATAAAAAATAAAAAAAAAAAAAAAAATAAAAAAAAAAAAAAAAGTTATTGTAATACTTAATACTCTATCAGAAAGTTAAAAGATATGTTGCTGTTAAAATTTTTGTGATCGTTTAATCTCTGATTTGTGAATACAAACCACTATTTTACCTCAGAATGTACTACAGTTGATGCAGTATTTCCAAATCAAACCATGAAAATGGATGCATATATGAGCATTGCCATTGTATCGGAGAACAGAAAAATAAAAAACTGAGTGGTGTTTAAAATTAACATTGAGCCTGAAATTAATAAATAAAGTAGATTTTATTTAACAATTAACCGGAAGTGTTAATTTACTTAAGGCTGATTCTTATTCGTTGAATTGGTGGGGGAGTCATGTATTGGCCACCTGAGATTTTTTTGTGTATAATTTTGTTATGTGAACAATAATATAACTACATTCAATGTATTGTATTACTTAACAGTTTATTAATATATTAAAATCTATGAACTTGAATACTACATTTCATTTGATGTCTGTATGTGAATGATTATGTGGTGAAATGCCCAGGTGTGGTAAGGTAGCTTCCCTGCAAAATTAGTCTAGGGTTGCCAGAAAGTGGTAAGAAAAGCAGGGTTGCCAGATTTGGCATTAAATTGTCCATTTGGCGACAAAAGTGGAGATATGTCATAGACGGAGCAAGAACATTTTAAAACGAACTCTTACCATTTTCCCCAAGAATCCCAAAACACTTTCTCGAAGACAGGTCAAGAACTATAAATACCCTGCCTGTACATGGAGTAGCAGTATATCATGAGAGTATCTAGTAGTATGTTGAGTTCAATTGTAATTTACAGGTTAGCTTGAGAGCGACCAAACCGAGTCTAGAGCTGTACTTTAGAGCTTTACCGTGAAGTTGTCTTCATTGTTATAGCCTGATAGCCTGAAGGCTGTGTTGCTGATTGTTTTAGTTTGTTTAGCATAGTTTTTGACAACTGTAAACGTGTCTTTGAAACTCTTCTGTGTAAATACTGGCAAATAAATTGTGTTTTGATACTTCATCAAGTGTTGTCATCAATCACTCTAAACTCATGAACTCGTAGAACACAACAATTTAGCTTTAGATTACTAGGAGCCCTTGTTCTGTTAATTGGCTGTTAATATTTATAAATGGTCCTTATTTATCTAATTCGTTTTAGTTTACCTTATAGTGAAAGCTCAAAGTTTTTCTTCGTATAATGTAAATAGTTGTATTTATTGTTATTTGGTTTGCTTTGCAAGAAACATTTTAATATAATTTTAGTAACTGTTAATGCAAAAAATCTTTCAGAACCTTTTCAAGCTTGTTGCAGTTCTAATGGGTTTTTACTCTTCAGTCTTTTAGAAACTCTTCGGTCACTCGTTGCCACAAATGAAACACTTAAAAAACAAGAACAAGAATTTCGAAATCATTGCAAAGAAGAACTTGCTAGATTAAAATCCCAAATTGAGGAATTGAAGGCATCGTCTGAAGAAGGATCTTCAGAAGATAAAGTAGGTCTATTATTATTAAAGCTAAATTAATTTTGACGATTTCTCTTTTTATCATTATGCAGAGGTTGTTTACACATTTTTATAACAATTTTGCAAAGATTTATGTATAAACAAACCTTAGAATTTTATTTTCGAGTATGTTCAGACTTGTAGCCCTTTTGTTGAACTATCATATTACATCTTGATTTCCAAGATAAATGTCCTTTTCTTAAAACGCCAAGTTTGATTTTATTCCATTCCTCCTTCAGAATCCTCCAGAGTCCATCCAGTGTTTTGGGATCAAAGTCCAAATGCACAGTAATCTATAGACACATAAGAGGACTTGGGTAGGATGCATTAAAAGGGAATAGTTTCAATTCGAGTTTCATTTCTCATTTTTTCAAAAAACAGCTGTAAATTCAGAGGTATGACTTGGAGCTTTATCCTGATAGAACTTAATGCAGTGAAGATTATTTGAATAAAGAGATGGAATTTCTTCTTGAAAAATAGGTATTAAAACACATTTCTGATAGTAATCTGAATTAATTTTGGATTTTTTTTTTTTTTTTTTTTACTTTACTTTTCTTATTTTAAGTTTTCTTTTATAAGAGAATCCAGTAAGGTGTAATAACCATAAAACCTTTACAAAAACTTTCATTGTTTTCTCTGAATCAACATATTAAGTCTTTTTCTCCTCTTTTTTTGATAGTAAATTAATCTTTTTCTATTGCAAACAGATAAGTATATCCAAGCCTTATCAATTGTAACTATATATTTCCATTTTTCACCTGCCAAATAATTTCCATACAGCAATCTGCACAGCCTTACGCTGAGAAGCATGTTTCAGCATTAGGTGATGAACATCATGTTTTTTTGTTTTGATTAGCTTTAAATCAGGTTTTATAATTTTGTTTACAGTTCGTACAGAGATATTTAAAGACTTTGCAGTAGCTCTTTGGGGGCTGGATTTCCCTTTAAAATATGAAATGTGACTTTAGATTTAATAAGAGCTGTATGTGCATTTGTTGGGCATGCATTTTTTGCCTTTTTCGCAGTCAGATGTAAACTTTGATGTTTCTTTTCTCTCATATTAATTATGTCACTTATTTTATGTATAGAAATATTAAAACAATGCTTTTCACTTTTTTTAAATAATTGAATAAGACTATTTCTCTTTACACAGTACAAAAATACAGCCTTTGATTCATTATTTATTATTTAGCGACTCTTTGAAGGAAAGTCCCATCTTGTGTTTGGCGTGGTATAATCATTTTTGGTTTTTGCGCCATAATCACTCACTCACTCACTTTGAAGGAAAGAATATTTTTAATGCTGCAGATGATAATTAATCCTTATTCCAGTTTGATGGTGGTCACGTTTGTATTTTAAAATTAATATATTAATTCATAGAGAAAATCAAAATTATTACAAAAACGTGTAAACATCCTCTGTATATCAAAAAAACCTTTACATGTTGTGTATAAAATTAATATTTTTTATATATACTAAGAGTATTAACTTTTACATTTTTCGTTATATTTTTATTATTTAAGTCGGGTTTTTTAAAAATTTCTGAAGTTCTTTATTGCTGTTTTCAATTATGTTTTTCGAAATGCAAATGACAGATGTTTATCATTATAAATACAATCTTTTAGCATTAGTCTTTAAAATTTTAAGTATGGCATGAAAGATATGCCAGATTTTATCAATCCAGACATCAAATTACTTGCAAATACTCCAGGAATAATTTGCAGACAAATTCTGCCAAAAGTGCTAAACAATTAAAAGTGTGAACAGCAGTTCTTTTTATCATCATTGTTATACCTTTATGTAATTGCCAGAAATTATTATTTCTCATTTTATTATTATTCGAAACCCCCCCCCCCCAAATAATAAAAAATAATAGATTTTTTTTTGTATGATTATTATATAAACTTGAAACACCCTTGTGAACCTGTTAACCAACATTTAAATACGACGGCTGTTTTGAAAGTTAATGGACAAAGATCACTATTTTAATCCAAGATATTAGGAGGTATTTGGAGAAGAGAATAACTACTTTCACAGTTTATATACCATTTCCAGAAATATGTTAGCTTTGCCTTGGAATTCTATCCAAGGCGGAACCTAAAGGTTAGTAAGGCTCAGCAATATCTAAGGTGCCAAAAGAAATGAACAGATGCCAGTCTTACTTCAACCTGTACCTGTGTGTGAGATGGGTAATGCTTTTACCTGTAAGCACAAGGGTTGAAGAAAGGTAATTTTTGCATTAGAAATACGTTGTAGCTAGTTTGATTATTGATTTGCATAATATATATATATATATTTCATTAAAAAGAAAATGTAAGCTACTAGTAATTAGACGTAAGACCTATTTGGTCTTAAAAATTTTTTTGCGCATAATGCTGCAAAAAGATTGAAATAATAGTAGTAGGTAGAAACATTGCAGTGATCTTGCTAAAGTTACCAGGAGCTGTAGCTCCACAAAATATTTTAATGCTGTATTACTAAAATATAAACTAAGAAGAAATTTGTCTGGAAAAACTGGAAAAAAACTTAAAAACGCGAAAAAAACTGCCAAATTAATGTTGGAAGACAGCTAATGCACGAAAAAAAATTAATCTGACCGTGTGATATGTGAAAAAGTTACTCGCATGAAAAATAGATTGACGTAAAAAATATATGAAAGTAAATACATATAAAAATATAGACTGAAAAATGCCAACATAAAATGTAAAAATTTAAATGATAACATCAATTGCAACAAAACAAAATACATAATTACATAGCGGAAAATGGTAAATTAACCCCTCTACCCTCAATTGGCTTTTCAAGGGAAAAAACTGAGTTCCGAACTAGGTTAAATACCATTACGCGTTTCGCGCCGAAACAGACCATTGGAGCTCTTGTTTAATGCGAAAAAATTTTTACAAAAGAACATTAATATTCCCGAATAATCTTTTTTGAGCTTCACTGCTCTGTTCCTTTTTCCCGACGCGTCGCTGAAAAACACATTAGGGTGTTAAAAGCAATTGCAACTCCGAGCAATGTAAATAAAAATAAAAATAAAATAAAATAATAGCGGTCTGCTATTAATAAAAAAATTACAACAACGTATGGGCTGGTCCTATAGCTTAAAGAAGACAGAACTTTTATAAAGAGAATGGTGCTGTAATCAAATAAAAATGCAATTAAAATATGCAAGAAAACAAACGTCGCAGGGTCTTATTAGGACCCCAAAAAAAACATACACAATAGAAACGAATAAACAGACCTGAGAGGTGCCGTCCTTTGCATCCGAAAAATTTTTTAGAAAAGGGTGCAAAACCCCTCCGTGCCCAACCAACCTTCCTTCTCGTTGAATGACTTAGTTGGGCTAAACAATTAAATCTGCATAGGCCAATGGGCTGAGATTTGTAGTTTGGCGGGAATTCTTGTCCCCCCTTTTTTTATAGAGGTTGACAGACGAGAAAAGACCGGAAGAACCAAAATGGCGTCAGTAGAGTTGTTAGAAGAACAACTGCTAAAAATAAAGTGAAAATGGCCTAATTCAGCTAAATTACTTATTTTGCCACAAAAGAAAGAGTAAATTGGAAAAAAGTCATTTGTTAGTAAAGTCGTCATTCTTCAAGCTAGAGGGCAGCGGTCAAACTACTATGAAAATGAAAGCCCGATTTGTTAATAACTTAGAGTTTGGCCTTCTAAGTAATTCAAAACTATTAATAATAGTATTAAAGTATAGTGCCAAAATCTTTGGAGAAAAGAAAATGTATTAGGAGAATAATCTGTACATATATAAATTTTTACATTAGATTATCTGAATCAGCCATCCACTTTATACCTTCCCATGCTTTAACATAAAATTCATTATCAAAAACAATTATCTAAAATTTAAGGCTAATGGCCAGCTTTTTTAAAGGTATTTTTAATTATTTTATGAGGAATTTGGTTATTTTTCAAAATTGTGACGATAAAATATTTTTTCTTGTAAGTGTTCTGTAGTATTAATATTCTTTTTATTCTAAGTAGCTGTGAAATTGTGTTAATGATGATTCTTTTGACATATTAGATTCCAGTTGGTTAACTTTAGTGTAGAAAAAGTGAATTCTCTCCTCTTGTCGTAGACTTAAAAAATTAAATCAAATTTTGGAGGTATATATTTTTTTTCACATTTGTAAGAGATAAAAGCGTAATATTACGCTATTTTGTATGTTTAAAGGCTTAATCATCAAAAAACATAAGTTTTATTATTATAGATATATAATTTTTTATTTCCTAAACCGTATTGATTAATTGATTATATTATCTCCTAAGTTTAATTAAAGTAGAATTATTTTAAAAGTGTGCATCCATACTGGTAAGTTATATTTTGAAAGATGTTTTGAAGTAATTTGAAAGCAAAATGTTAATAATGTTTTAACGGGGACTGGAGTTAAATCATCACGAAGAATAATATTACAATTGTAAAAGTAAAAATTAAAACATGTAATTATTGTCATTGATCGGAAATTAGTTGACTTTTCAAGGGGAACAAACCAACTCCCGTTCAATGATCAATAATTGATAGAAATACGTAAATATGAAAGTGTTTCGTCTTTACTCGAGTTATAAATTAAAGCCAAACCGGCAATTCTAGTCAGGCCAAATATTTCCGCGAATAGTTGTTACTCAAAGAACTGATTCTCATGAAGCATTTTAGTCAATTCAATTTGGAGTAAAAATCAATTACTGTAGAGAAATCTTGTAAAACTCGAGTAATCGTCCCCGACACTATCATCTTTATGTATTTGAGTACTATATTATTTGTAGAAATTAAACATTGGAAATTGTCATTATGAAATCGAAATCAAAGTAAAGTTGAAATAAACATAGAAGATTATAAAAAAGATAAATAATGCAAACTTTGCAAAAACAAATCAAAGAGAACATAAAAATAATATAAAAATAAAATAGAAAATAATATAAATAAGATCAGTGAATGTACATGAAGATATAAAGGCCAGAAAGGTATTAAGT